GGGGCCCCTGCACTCCAGTCTGGGCTACGGAGTGAGATTCCAACTCAAAAAAAAAAAAAAAAGAAATAATGCAAAGGAAGAAATACAAATGACCAACAAACACATGAAAGGATCGTATCTTTACTAATAAAGTTGTAAATTAAAATTATGAGAGTATAACATTAGCAGCAATTAAAGAGATAACTTTCTGGAGAACAGTCAAGGAAAATGTACCAAACTGCAACTGTGTACATTTTATGCCATGGAAATAATCAGAAAAAAAAAAAAAAATGTAAAAGCATTCACTACCAACACTGTCTTATAGCAAAAAGGGGGAGTGTATTAAGAAAAATACCATTTCAATAAATTGTATATTCATACAATGAAATAATAAATTAAAAGAAAATATGTATATCTGTGTTGATAAAGATATTCATTTTATTACATATATATGCATACACACATGTACACATATCTATAAGGATTTACATCCAATAAAATAAAATGGAATAAAAATGTCATTTGTTAAAAGCTGTTCTCCCTACAAAAGTAGGATGAGTGCTTTATTATTTTGGTTTATTTGTAATTATTTAACTGAACTGGGGGAAAAAAGGGGTTTTTGTTAATTTTTTTTAAAGCTAGCTGTGAGTTAACTGGCTACAATTTTTTTTTCTTTCAATTTTATAACTATTGTACGTTTGAACATTTAAACTCTGTGTTTCACTACAGACTATACAGAAATTCTCAAATCTGGCTACAAACAAAAGTCAACTGAGTAAACTGTTTAAAACAAATATAGATTCCTTGGCCCCAACTCCAATGACTCAGAGTCCTCGTCTAGGACCCAGAAAGTTGTCCTTCTACCAAGTTCTCTAAATAATTAATAAAAACCAAAAACTTATTCTTGGTAAACAATGGAACTTTTTTATCAAAGAGTAAGGGTATATTAAATTTGGGAAGATGCTAGCAACTTATTTCTAGAAAAACTGTACTTGTTATTTAGCAGACACTTTTAATTGTCTATCCAATATCCCTGCTTGTTAATAAATTAGTAATTACCTTTACTAACACTGACTTTGGTCAGAGCAGCAATATACCCAATCCCATATAAAGTCACCATGAGACTGAACAGATCATTTGCTGCAGAGCTCTGAGAAACCTTTTTCTTTTTTTTTTTGAGTTTCACTCTGTCACCCAGGTTGGAGTGCAGTGGCACACTCCCGGCCACCACAGCCTCGACCTGCTGGGCTCAGGCGATTCTTATACCTCAGCCTTCCAAGTAGTCAGAACTACAGGCACACGCCACAATGCTCAGCTAAATTTTTCTTTTATTTATTGTAGAGATGAGGTCTTGTGAAGTTGCCCAGACTGGCCTTGAATCCGAGGGCTAAGGCAGTCCTCTCACCTCAGCCTCCCACCTCCCAAAGTGCTGGGATTATAGGCATGAGTCACTGCACCCCGCCTTGGTTTTCTGATAAACACAGACAATCACAACTAGTGTGGTTCTTCCTTCTAACATTATATTCTTACCTCGAATGTGAACATATCCGAACCAAGTCATGTCCATGAAGCATTTAATAGGGGATTGGCCAAAAAAAATGAAGACATGCCAGTTCTGACATTACGAAGTTGCTAAATGCCAGCTTCTCATTGTGTGAAAAAATAAATTCCTATTTGTTTAAACTACTTATCAATGGACAGGTTTTCTATTACTTTCAGACAAAATTCACTCTGATCTGATTAACCCACTAACAGTGCATGGGATTTTTCATTTCTCCATATCCCATCTCAACACCGGTATCATGAAACTTAATATTTACTCACCTAATTTTTTTAAAAAAGCAGTTCCTCATTTTGATTTTCAATTATTTAACTATGAGGGATGTAGAATTTGTATTTTTTTCTTTTTTTCTTTTTTGAGTCAGTCTCAGTCTGTTGCCCAGGCTGAGGGCAACGGCACACTCACAGGTACTGCAGCCTCCATCTGCAAGGCTCAGGTAATCCTTCAGCCTCAGTCTTCCAAGTAGTACCACCACACCCAGCTATTTTTTTTTTATTTATTGTGGAGACAAGTTCTCACCAAGTTGCTCAGGCTAGTCTTGAACCCTTGGGCTCAGGCAACGTTCTGGCTTCAGCCTCCCAAAGTGCTGGGATTATAGACGTGAGTCACTGTGTCTGGCATATATTATTTTCATAAATTCATTTTAACATCTTTTGTCTACATTTTCTATTGCATTACTAATTTTTCTCTTATTGGTTTGTACAAGTTCTTTGTAAACTAAGAATATCAGATCTGTACAAATATGTTATAAAGTATTTTTATGAGTCTGCCTTATTAGTTTTATATTTTGTACTATGTGTGTGTAGAACATCTTTTAAATTGTAACGTAGATACAAAATCCAAATTAAAAAAAAAAAATTTTTTTGAGTTGGAGTCTCACTCTGTTGCCCAGGCTGGAGTGCAGTGGCACACTTATGGCCACCCCAGCGTCAACCTGCTAGGCTCAGGAGATCCTTCCACTTAAGCCTTCCAAGTAGCCGGAACTACAGGCACGTGCTTCCACGCCCAGCTAATTTTTTATTTATTGTAGAGTCGAGGTCTCCCCAAGTTGCCTGGGCTGCTATCGAATCCACAGGCTCAGGCAATCCACTTGCCTCAGACTCCCAAAGTGCTGGGATTACAGGCTGAGCCATCGAGACCAGCCAAGAATATTTTATTTAATTAAAATTTTTACCAGTCAGTACATAGAAAACGACAAAATCTAGATTTTAAAACAGTTTTGTTATTTCAAAATGCGATATGGGCCCGGGCAACACTGTGAGACTCCAACTCAAAAAAAAAAAAAAAAAATGCAGTATGAAGCTAATTTTTTCCTAACAAAGGATAAACATAAAATGTTAAATCAAGACATCTTCTGAGTCTGTATGACACCGGAAGAATTAGCTCCCCAGGTAAATCTGAGGAGCATCTGAAATGGCTTCAACTTGGAAACGTTGATGACATTAATTAAAGCCATTCAAGTAGAAGAGAACTTATTTTTTCTGGTAGTCTAATACTTCGGATTCTCCTTTATTATGTATCAGCTAGATTTATTTTTTGTATAATTTCTCAAATCTTTGTGTCCACAGTCTGGCTCCACCCTCCTTATTCTGAAGGAAAAAACAAAAGATGGGGGGGGTGTTAGATGTGGACAAAAAAAAATTTTAATGCCTGTCCAACACTATATGGCATTACTCATAGAGATATATTAAGTATAAGATAAGGTCCTCTCTCTCTAAAGTTTATTAACTAGGCAGAGAAAGACAAATATCACATGAAACACACATACATTTGGATA